GCCCCACGCAAAGGTCCCCGGTGCGGCTCTCCCCTCTCCCCCTCCCCGTGGCGCGGCGCGTCCCAGCCGTCAACCCTGTACCGGGGCAGAGGCGAAGAGCACTTTTGACGAAGCCCTTGATGCCCGCGACTTTTTGTTTTTCTCGCGACGTGGCGAGCTCGTCAACGGCGGCTTTGACGCGCGAGATCGCTTATCATATCCGACGTGCTCCGAGCGCACCCCGGACCTTCGAGAGACCCCCGGCCCGCGAGCGATGCTCGGGGTCCTCGGGGGACTGGGCAGGTGTGCGTCCGGCTTTCAAAAAGCTTTCTGAGGCCGCGGACGACTGTTGACTCTTCTCGGCGCGCGCATCCCGAACCCACGGCGCTCCCGAGCGCGCGGGTCGGCCGCCTCCGAGGCCCCCTATTTTATGGGGATGGCTTCCTTTTCGCCGATCCTCCAAGGGGGGAGCCTCACATTGTCTCCGGGGCTGCCTGCCAGCTCGTCTTCGGGGTGTGTTTGTTGGTTTCTTTTTCGGGGACGGTTTGTCTCGAAAGCATCTTTGGTCCTCGGCGAGCTTTCTCCGGGCGACGATGGACCGCCTCGTGAGTCCGCTTGTTATCAGCTGACCCCGAGGAGGCCGGCTTGGCGCTGCTTTGCCCCGTTCCTGATTCTAGGCTGCTGGGTGCTGGGGACGCTTTTTTGTTCGCAGTAGCCCAGCTGTGTTTGCTTCGCCGCGAAGTGTTTACTCTCCAAGGCCAAAGCTGTCTTCAATTCACCGACGAAACGGTGGCCCGGGCGTGAAGAGCATAAATCTGGCAGCGACGTCTATAGCCGGGCGGTATTTGCCTAGTAATCGTTGTCCCATAAACGGGCTATAATGAGTCGCCTCCTCTGTCAGTCGGATTTCCGGAACAACGCGACTTCTTACCTTACGCGTCATTTTTTTTTTTTAATTACGAGAAATAATTTTAAGAAACAAATAAAACGTGAACTTTTTTTTGTTTATTTAACCCGTCGCCTCTCGCGTTATTTTACGTTGTATGCTTTTGCCGCGTACACAAAGCTTAGTGTCTCGGGTCAACGGTCTCTCCCTCGACGGCCTACACTATATAAAGGAACGGGGCGCGCGACGGCTTCCTTGGCCATAATGAGCGCTGTTCGTTAGAGACGCGTGCGGCAAGGTGAGGGGTGTCCGGCCCAGAAAAGAGCCGCTCCGAAGCCCACGAAGCCGCCCAAATGGACCCGACGTCTGGCCGGGCGCGCTTCCGCGTGCTGCCTCCCCACGGGGTGACCCCGGAGCAGACGGCGCTCCATGGCCGCGAGTGGGTAGGCAGCCTTACAATGCAGAGCTTTGCCTCGTTTGCGGGGAAGCTCGCGGCAGGACCCCGAACGGAGGGCCGTTTTGTTTTGGCGGCAAACAATCTGCAGCGGGCCGAGAGCGGGTTCGCGGCACCTTTTCGTGCGGTGGGTCAGTCGCTGTTTCTTTGTTCCCCAAAAGCGGCTCGCCCTTTGTGTCGGCGTGTAATTGGCCACGCGTCCGCCGCAGTCCGCGCAATTTGTCAAGAGATAGGAGTCGCGCGATCGTGGCGTTGGGCGTGATCTTTTCAAGTGGACAGAATTACGGGCCCGCTTCGTTCGGGAACGCTGTTTGTCTTCTCTGAGACAACACCGGGGCCCTTGTCTTCGCCGGGGCACAGTGGTCAAAGTTTCTCCAAAGGCTTTTTTTTTTTTTTTTTTTTTTTTTTTTGTGGGGTGGTGATGAGTATTGAACCTTCTTCCCATCACGCTCGAATACGTACTGCGTATTTTCCGAGTTAAACTTCACTTTTGGCTTCCAGAATAAAGATTCAAACTGCAAATTAACGGCATTTTGTTTCTTTTTTTTTTTCCTTTCTTTTTTTTTTTTTTGGTGGGGGGGGGGGGGGGGGGGGCTGGAGGTGGCTGGAATGCAGTGTTGTCGGCATTACCGAAAGCAGGTAACGAAATACATTACTTGCAAAGTAAAAACCGCGTTACCGACCCACGTTACAAAAAGAAAGGAACGCGTCATGGTTACCATTACAAATTAAAAGAACGCACGTTACATTTCCGTTACTTTTTATAAATAATCAATAAAAGCTTCTTTTTTTTTTTGCTTTTTGCAACAGCGTTTTTCGACAACGGGACGAAGGACGTGGGCATTGGGGTTTGTCTAAAGTGGGACTTTCTGTTTAGGGAAAAGATAGGCCAAATTTTGAAGGCATGTGGAATGAGTACAATAATTAATGGCTTGGGGGGGGGGGGGGTTTGCAGGCTTTAAGTTGACGACTTGGCGCCTATACTTCGTTACAGCTTCAGTCCAGACGCGGCCGACGCGGCGAGCTAGTGGGACCAATCAAACCGCGTCAAAAACGCAAGTCACTGAACATTTTCTGTTCATGATTGGTTCAGCAATATAGAACACGTACAAAAACATGACGAAATCCACGATTGTGCACTTTTGACGCTATCTGATTGGTCATAGCAGCTCGTAGCGTCGGCTTCGTCTGGACTTTAGGTAAAACGAAGTACAGGGTGTCCCCCCAAACAAATTTACCGTTTTTTTTTTTTTGTTTTTGTTTTTTTATCGGAAAAATAAACTAGGCATCTCCAAACGCTCATTCTCCGCCCAAAGGTAGCGCTAGAGTTCACAACCAGATGCCCAAGTTTCAGCCCGATCCGATACCAAAAGTAATAAGTGATTTTCTGAAAATTTCAATGGGAAAATGGAGCCCATTTTTGCCCGTTTTCGGTTTCTGGTGCCCATAGAGCCCCGTGTATTCGAAAACTCTGTCTGCCGCCATTTTTCCATTGAAAGTTTCAGAAAATCGCTTAACTTTTGAATGAGATATCGGGTCGGACTGAAACTTTGGCATCTGGTTGTGACCTCTGGCGCTACCTTTGGGCGGAGAATGAGCGTTCGGCGATGCCTAGTTTATTTTTGGGGTGTAAAAATGCCAGTAATTTTTTTTTTTTTTTGGAGGGGGGGGGGGGGGGACACCTTGTATGTAAACACGAAAAAATGTAAGTGAACTTTTCTTCGGGTCTTGGAAAGATGTAACGAGTAACGTATGTAAGTTACCAGTTACTCGAATTAAGTAACGTAACTACGTTACCCATTACTCTTTTGAAAACGTAACTATCCAGCACGTTACTACGTTACAGAAAAATGTAATCCGTTAAGGGGTATTCACACGAGGGAGAAATCCCGGGGATTTCTCCCTCGTGTGAGTCAACATTTCTGGAATGCCCATGACATGGGGTGCGGGGGGGGGGGGGGGGGGGAAGGGGGGTTCCGACTGGAGCCCTATGAGCCCCTCCCCTGGCTGCGCCTCTGCATGAAGAGGAAATGTGACGGTAAAGGGAGGCAGGGGAGAGAAAGAGAACTGCCCCCCCCCCTTTTTTTTTGTTCCCGATGATGTGATGATAAAGCTAGTAAACAAGCGAACTGGTTTAGGTTTTTCCCAAAGAAATATCCTTGCTACGCCACTGATCGGTGGTACCACATGTTAATATTGGGTCAAACTTTTTTTTTTTTCCGAACTAGAAAACGTTAAATGAGTGTTTTCGGTTGCGAAACATCGAAAAGAGGTATTCCTGGAACCAAGTTGAAATTAAATGCCCTGCTAGGCGTTTCTTTTTATTATAGTTACAATGCCTTGTTCACGCAAGCACCGCATACTAATATTAGAGAGTTTTAGCATATAGTTCCGATGACTCCCATAACGATAACCGGAATTCAGCAAACGCCTTTGCGCAAACATCGTGTCGTTATTAGGGGTATCGGAACGATCTACTAAAACTCTCTATTTTTGGCATGTAGACTGGCGTCATGGTAAAGCTGCGTATCTCCCAAGCAAGAAAAAAAAAGTGGGAAGTCGTTTTAACTTTTGCTGATTTGTGTGACCTGGAGTCGAATAGATGAAGAACCGGCGCTGATTTTATCTCTGTGAAATGAGCTCGGATATACCACGTCGAATAACGGCTGAAACGCGAGGAAGAGCTTACCTAAACAAAGGCTCTGCGAACGACCGATCGTTTTCGCTGGTCTTTCGAAACCTTTGACCAAAACACCCTGTCCGGGCTTTCACCCTGTATACAAACAAGAAACCCCAGTAGACCATCACATTTCTCAATCCTGCTTATGCTTCGCAAGATAACTGGTACCACGGATTATACAGAAGAAACCGTAAAGAAGTTTCAAGTTATTTTTAGACCTTGTGCTAAAGTTGATCTAACAAGGTCGTGCGCGCGCATGTGTGTTTGTATTTATTTTTTGTTTATTTAAGTATCACATTTACTATTGGCTAACGTTGAATCATTTGTATTTTAACCATTTTTCCGTGCACCATGTTATTGTGTTTGTTATTTGAGCTTTCCAATCATTCACAAATCTTCAATGCCACTATGCACTTATTGTTTAGCTGTCCCGGCTGAGTGAACTCGTGCGCTGTTTCCTTCTCTGGCGCTTGTGCGGATCTGTTTAAATGACCTGCCGCTGCCGGCGCACTTTTAACTCCAGGCTCTGGATGTGTTGCGCGAGGCCGCGGTGGCGACAGCGACCCGCACTGAGGCCAAACATTTCCTCGCCGTAAAAGACAAAGAGCAAGCTTTGTTTGTGCACCTCGCGCGATAGGCTCCATAATTTCAAGCATTATTAAAAGACTCTCTTTTCTTTCTTTTTTTTTTTATTTTTTTTTTTTGGGGGGGGGGGGGGGGAGGGGGAGGAGGGTAGAGGGGGAGTTGTCAACCTCTGTGGGCGCTTCGGTTCCAGACGAAGACCAGAGTCGTCTCGCCGGGGAACCGCGGGTCGCGGGGCCCTCGCATGTGCGAGCGCGAGTTCCGCTTTATGTGCCGCTACTTTCCGATTCAAGAGCCAATCCATCTTCGGCACAGTCAGACAATGCAACACCTCGCGACCGGTAACGGCTCTGTTTTGGGTACAGCGCACTGAATGCGCGCGCCGTGCTCCGTTGACACGTGGCGTCCGCGCGGTAGCCATGATACCGTCCGTCAGGACGTGGTCGCCGCGACGGCTCTTCTGGACACCCCTGGAACCCTGGTTCTGGGCCCTGGGCTCGGACGTCGTGGCTTGGCCGCCCCCAGGTTCCGGGTGCCAAACGTTGCGGTCGGTGACCCCCCTTGACCCCGGGGCCTGTGAGTACGACGTCGATTTCCATACCAACGTTGGCCTCTCTACGGACTTCCACGCCACTGCACGCGGTGGAGTGGGTTCGCCCTCTGTGCTGCAGCTGCCTCGCACTTGACATAGCCTCGTTTACACTTGACGGTTGAACTGCACTCCGAGCGATCGTATCGAGTGTGTCCGTCTCTTCAACCGATTATTGCATAAACAAAACAACAACAACAAAAATGTGGGCACAGGTTGATGCATTAAAACGCTGGAATTAAATTTTGCGGGTGGTAGATTACGTGGAACGTTTTGTCGTGTTTTTGTATGACTCAACCGGTCAACTTCTGCAACTAATGTCCTGGGCCGGCTTGCTACAATTAGCGCCTCAGCTGGGGCTGCGTGAAAGAAAGCACTGTCAATGCTACCGTACGAGCGGAGTAACGCGTGAAGTCGAGTCTGAAGCGCTCACGCTCCCCTAGGCTTTGCAGGCTTTCTTTTACACATTCTAAGCTAAGACGCGCATTCTAGACAGTAAGCCCTGTTGTGTGTGTCGCGGTGGTTCATGAACGGAGAGCCTCGAACAATAGGTATTGTGTCTTCTCCGCGTTCTCTTATTGAAAAATATTCTTGTCTTCGGTTAATGCGTCTCCAAACGTGTTTCCACATTAAATAAAAATAAAATAAATTACGCAAGTGAAAAAAAGAAGGAAGCGTATTTGAACACATTTACGAATCGCAAATGCGTAATCGAGAGCGATAACGTGTACGTGAAGTTCTTCCACTCTTATCAAGAGCATGAATAGAAGGTTATTTTTGTTATGAACGGTGTTCTCAAAGGCAAAATTAAAATATATCACAAAAAGTGTAGGAAACCTACCAATGAACTATTGTTCTTTCATATGATTGTTTTGTATGTTTACGTGACGTTTACGTGCATGTGTACGTATGTACGTGTATGTATGTTTACGTGTGTGTCTACGGTGATCAATAGGACGTCATTCACTTAAACAAACAAAAGACGTCGGTAAACGTGGAGTGCTTTTACATGCGTTTTGGTTTGTATAATTTTGCCGAGAGCTTCAAAGGCCTCTGACACGCAAAAAAAAAAAAAAAAAACAATTCATGCTAAGCGTTGAAATGCCATGTCAGGGCATTACAAAAAAATTGTTTCACTGTAGAGGTGCGTAGTTTTTTTTTTTTTTTTTTTTATAAAAATAGAAATACGAGGCCCAATTCAAAGTTCCCGCCAGTGCACTGTGACGTAACAGTGTACCGCAAGGTGTCGGGGCGGTCAAAAGGGAGGCATCGGCGGAAGTCACGTGAGTTGTATCCCTCCTCGTGCTTACCGCGAGCGCGTGTAATATTTTTTTTTAAATATTTTTTTTATTCTCCGCACCTCCACGAGCGATCCGAGCAGACAAGGTTTCCTTTATCTGCTTTCCATCGCTTAATGTTGCTGTAAAGGTAGAAGAAGAGGAGTCAGTGAATTGACGTGATCAACTACAATGCCTAGAAGGTGCTGTGTGAGGGACTGTCCTGGTATTTCAGCAACTGAAGAAGAGATCACACTGCATGCATTTCCGAGGGACGGCAGGCATCTTCAGCCTGGAGAGTATACGATCATTCGACGACCTCGGTGTCCGAACCTTCACCAAAGCGATTGGGCGTGTCGTACGCAAGCAATTCTAATTTCTGCGAGCGTTCTAAATTTTTTTTTTTTTGCAATACTTGATAGTTTCTTTTGCGCCCAGTATAGCTCTGTATCATCGGACTAATCGCATACACTCGTACACTGGCTTGTACTCGCAACGCTTTCATCATTGACCTTACTGACTCTTCGTCCTCAACTTTCACAGCACGCAAACTAATCAACGGTGCAGGGATAAAGAGCTATAAAAAAAAAAAAAACTTCGTTTCACCTTATGTGCGAGCGAAGGCAAAGCTGGAAGCGCGAGCGCGAAAGCTCCGTGCGTTCAGGCTTTGCTCGAGCGCGCGAGCTGGGGAGAAACGCAAAAAGCGCTGGTCTCGCGCTTTTAGCTTTGGCTTCGCTCGCAGATAAGGTGAAGCGAAGCATAGTGGAACTGAAACTTCGTTTTCTACAATCGCTCGTACAAAGAGCAGAAAAAAAAAAAGTCTTAGGCACGGTCGCGGAGAGCACGAGGAGTGAAACTCGCGTGACTTCCTGCGAACCCACTTTTAGTGACGTAGGTCGATGCCTCCCTTCTGACCGCCCCGACACCTTGCGGTACACTGTTACGTCACAGTGCACTGGCGGGAATTTTGAATTGGGCCTCCTATTTCTATTTTTATAAAAAAAAAAAAAAAAAAACTACGGCAACTCTTTAGTGAAACATTTTTTTTGTAATGTCCTGACATGCCATTTAAACGCCTAGCATGAAAAAAAAAAATTTTTTTTTGGCGTGTCAGAGGCTTTTGGCTAATTTTGGCAGCGTTTGCTTATGCTTGCACTTATGAACCCGCCTACATGATGACTAACGGCGCAGCAGGTATAGATGTCAATAAATATATAGCAAATAATGATTAGGCTGAGCAGAAGAAATTAACCGATAGATTTGCTGAATCGCCGAAGACCCGCCTCCACTGGGTTTATCCGGGATTTCTAATACCGAAAACGTCTTTTTGTCGGGTAAAAAAAAAAAAAAAAAAAAAAAAATAATAATAATCTAAAAAAGAAAAACAAAAATAGCGCCCGAACGGGGACTCGAACCCCGGACCGTTAGGTTAAAAGCCTAACGCTCTACCGACTGAGCTATCCGGGCGCTCCGAAAGTTGTCTTCCACAGAGCCCGTCGGAAATGAACGTCGCGACTTGCAACCCTGGCCGCGGCAGTTGTACGTTGTAACAATGGACGTGCTGTTGTCTCTCTGACCAAAGGAACACCTGTCCGCCCAGAGCCGTTTCGTTCGTTGTCGCTCTCATTTTGGCGCGCATTTCTGTATTCCAGGCGCATCTGGCGCCTTTTGGCAGGCAGCCTGCTCGGTGCGCCCTTCACGGGCCACAAGGAGGCAGGAGATAGTACGCTGCAGGTGCGCGGAGAATGATAGCGCCTGGGTAAGCCGGGTCACCTTCGGACGCTCTCGGTGGCAGCTGAACCACTTTAATGAAAAGGGATGATTATTCCGGAGGCGCGTCTCCGGGAGCGGAATCACGCGCGATGCGTCGCGGCAAACGAGCAGCGCGTCGCGTGCTCCGGGCTTGTGTCGCTCGCTGCTGGAGACACGGCACGCGGTGCCACTCCACGTGGTCCTCGATACTCACGCTCTTGGCGCTCCTAAGGCGTTCACTGCGGCGGGGTGGACAGCTGTTTTACGGCTGTCCTGTGGGCTGGCAAAAAACGATGCCGTGTGCTTCGCAAAAAAAAAAGTTTTTTTAGGTGCGTTTGATGGTCGTTCGCCGAAGTTACGGGTTTCATATCAAACACCACGTAAAGTTTGGATATTATCAGGGAGTGTCCATACATCGTGTTTGCGCTCAGATAACGATCCTCGATAAGGATATGATTCATACGCAAAGGCGCCGGCGGAGTTTCGAGTATCCTTATCGGAATACAAAGACGACTTACTAAAACTCCCCGTTATTAAGGAGTTTGAGCAGATAGCGTTTTCTTATAAAGATATTCATATGTGGAGCTCGCGCTGCCACTTTGAAGCACTTTTTGAAGCATTCTTTGAAGCATTCACCGGAGGCTCAGGGCCTTCGAAATTTATTTGCTAACACACTTTCTGAGTGAAAGCTATGAAGTACCTTCAATCCGCCTAAATGTTGCGGGCGATGGTGCTTCATTTGGTTGCAAGTGGGAACACGGTCGCCAAGATGGTTAATGTTCCTGCTCTCGATACTCCATACGTCTCGCGGGTGCGTCGCTTTTCCCGCTTTCTCGGCTCGGGAGTGCTCGGGGAAGATGACCGCGCTGCTCTCGAGTTGCCGGGAAGACCCGTTTCTGGGAACACGACGCCTACTTTCTCGGCGTCGGAAGTGGCCGTGGCGGCGCGTAATCGGCCTCCGAATCACGGGACGAGCTTTGTGCGAGTCGCGTCGCTCTTCCACGGCGCTGCTTCGCCAAGCGCGCCGGTGCTCACCGACTGTGAGCTCGAACGACGGCGAGGGGCGCGAGTCCTTGGCGTCGGCCCGACGTTGGTCAACGAAGCGTCGCACGCCCCGAGAGTCCGGCTGGACAGCGTCACAATGCGGGCTGCGGCTCGTCCTCACTTGAGAAGTCCCCGGTCGTCCCCGGGGCCGAACAATGGCCGCTTTGCATGAGAAAGGGCAGGCCTCCGAAGCCATCACCCGGACCTCTCCCACCCAGGAGGGGGACAATGGGGCGAAGACAATCGAACGTATTATCGACGACCCTTCGATGATTATCGATTGGACTCGTTAGCCGAGAGGCGGGCTCCTTTCTCCGCGCGGTCACGTACGCAGGTGGCGTTCGCTGCGCATGCTCGTCAGGGTTACGGTTATGCCTTGTTTGCGGGCTTCCCGGCCTGGCCCCCGCACTTAGTGCGGCCATATTTTAACGAGTCCGCGCGTATAATGATATTTTGCCAGGTGGCGTTATTCCGTCTGCTTTTGTCTGGGAGACACTCCTTGGGGTCGTCTGCTTCGGCGCGCGCTTTTATCTTGCGCTCGGCTTTCCGGCGCTCTTTGGTCGTTGGTCCGACCAATTATCCCGCCGACCGACCGAAGCGATCCTTCTCACGCCGCCGGTTCGGAGCGCCTGTGATTACTCGTGGATGGACCAACGGTGCTCGTGTCGAAACTGAGAAAATGCCACTAAGCAAGCGCAGCGCCTCCAAGTACCAGGGGTGAACGGTGTCAGACATTTCATCTGCGAAGTTTGGTATGCGAAAGGAGGCTTGACTAGGAGCACGTGGTGCCAGCGCGCAAGTGATTGTGCTAGTGTTTAGTTCGTGTTGAACGTAGCTCGGCTGCTCACTTCTAGGGGAGCACGAACCCGCCCACAAGCGATGTTCCATTTCGACATTGCCAACGAAATTTGGCA